ACACAACTGGAAACAGATGGATACATCTTTTTGCTTTTTCTTTATGGATATTTTACAAATCACTCACCTTTTAAACTCTATTCTTGTTTTACTGCCATATAGTATGTCATAATTGTTTTTCCTTTATTCTCTTATTTTTTTTACAACTATAATGATCATATGAAGTGTGCCGCGGAAATAATCTTTTGAATAATTTTTGACCAAACCGTTTGAGACCCACTGAGATAACTTAGACTAAAGTTAACTATCTAAACACTCAGAGAGTCCTTTAGCTCACCTGAGCCTCTCAGTCTGAGAGGAGAGCTCTCCTCCAGCTTGTTGTGGAACAAACAGCTCCGTATGTCCGTTAGTGCAGCTAGCTAACCAGATGCTAACAACACGGTCCCTGTTGCATTCACTGAACACGGGAAATTACAGTCCTGCCGTCCTTTCTAGTGTCTTGATGAGGTTCACGTAAAGCACGGTTAATGTATTATATTATTGAGGTAGAATTGTCCGGGGCTACAGAAAAAACATTCGGGGCAGGCCAAAATATTATTTTACCAACAATGTGGAATTTATTGGCTCCATATTACACAGATTATGCACAGCGGGAGCAGCAATAACCGTCAAATAATAATTCAGACAGGGGAGCTACGCACCCCCTGCCTGCCGCTAGGGGGTGCTGCAGCGCCCTCAGCACCCCCCTTCCCGCGCCCATGCACATGTTGCCACTTGTTTGTACCATTTTCAGGCGTTTTTTAATCTGTTCTAGAAAAACGATGTGTTTTTAGATATTTGTGGAGTTCGGTGGTCCGCGAGTGGTTTTTTATTGGTCCTTGGTATGAAAACGTTTGAGAAACACTGCATTAAAGTATGCCTCTCTTTTTTTTCTTCAGCCACGTTCCAACTTTCTCAGAAACAAAACCCCTTTATTGGCTCTTTACATCCTTCAACCAAACTCCCTCAAATGACCTGACTTCTTCATCCATCTACCTTACTGTTCCAACTTTCCATACCCTCTCTGCCTTCCCCTCCCACCTCGTCACCTGTATCAACCTCAATCTTCCCTTTTAGCTTCAGATTTTAATCGATCATACCAACACTGATCCTTTTATTCTCTCTCAAATCATTATTTTATATTGTTTTCTGTCTTCCTTTCACATGCCGGCCAGACCTGCTGTTTTTTCCATTCTGCCTGCATGGTTCCAATCCATGTTCTTTAGCTTTATAAACTGAATTATTGTTCTTGTTGCAACCAAATACAAATAATGGCTATAATATAATCAAAGACCAAGAATAACATGGTTGTCTACTCATTCATAAATGGTATATTATTATGGTATATTTATATGTATGGTGTATATATGGTTTATATATTTATATGTTATATATATATATATATATATATATATATGGTATGTATTGTGTATATACAGTATGGCATATATATACGGTATATATATGGTATATAAATCCATATCATACAGTTTGCCTTATATATTTATATATATATATGGTATATAAATATATAAGTATATATGGCATATACAGTATATGGTATTTATGGAGTATATAATGTATAAATGTAGTATATATGGTGTATGTATATATGGTATATAATAATACAAAATAATTATTATAATATAGTGAGCATACGGTTAAGAGCCTTTTCACATTCATCTATAGCTTTCATAGGGAAAGCTATAGCTATGTCAGACCTGATGATAAGCTTGTCCTGCCACGATGGTAATTGTCAGAGAGACGCTGTAACACACATGGGGAATGTAAACCCCTGCAGGGCTGCCCACCCATACATTGATACCCCAACTCAAACTTTTGTTTGTGAGGGGGAAAAAGCAGTCAATCTCAAACCCCTCCTCCAGCTCTTTGTCAATCCAGAAACTTTGGCATTCCCTGAAATTCCCAGACGCTGGCTACCTTCTCAGGTTTCACTTCCTCATGTTCTATATTAACAATGTTTAAAGTCCGAAGCCTAGTTAAGCTGAAACTAATCTTTTTCTATCTTTCACACAGTGGAGCCTGCTCACACTAAAGTGGCACAGTAATGCTTATGCATAAGCTAATACTTATCGGCTTACCAGACACAAAGAAACAAGTTTATGAATCATCCCTGATTTTCCCAGCTCTTGTTTTTATCCTCGTTAACTCAGTCTTGTGCACTCAGTATCAGAGTGTCGTGGTTTGTTTGTATGTGGCTATGTTTAGTTTAGTAAAAGCATGGGGATAGTAAATGTTATCAGGCTGAATGCCTTTCAAAACCGAGTAACTTATCTCTAAATGTGCTGTATTAAACAAACAATACAATATACAATACTTTTATGTATGCTTTGTTTTTGATGCAATGCAATACCAAAATAAGTGTAACTAACAATACTGAAGAAGGCAATAAATGAGAAACCGACTTAACAAGACTTTGAGCCTGTTTTCATGTCAGAGCAAAGCCAGCTGTAGAGCAATCGTAAAGCAAATATTTTCTAAAAGCTGATATTAATGAATTTTCGGGTCAAACACGTGATGAAATAAAGCTTACGTTACATTGCGTTGGAACCATATATGTCTGTTCCAAATAGATGTTTTACTCACAAAAAGTAGAAAAAACGTAACCCTTTAGTGGTGCAATAGAGGGTCAGGGGTTGTTAGCATTTTGTCCTCTTGAGAAGTTGAATATAAAATGTAATGGCAATGCATCTAATATTTTTTATTTATTATGATTAAGATGATCATGGTGATGATGATTAATACTACAGTCATTGCAAATATAATTATTATTATTATTATTAATGATGATGAGCTGTGATCCTGATGCAGGGACGATTTCTTAAAAGTGAACACATTAAACATATTAAAGTGGCTTACTTGTCTAATGAAAGTTTTAGCTATGGTCAAGGGGAAATTCTTGAATGGCCAAACAAATCATGTCATGAAGGAATGTTATCATACTTCCTCTGTTATCCCCTAAAGCTACAGAACCTAGTTCCTGTTTACACTTTGTCTTCGACTTTATTATGTACAATAAAACAGATAATGATAAAAATGCACTATATCTTAAACACCGCTCTTCTCTCTCCATACTTTTGTCTACCATACGAATCCTCTCACATTAACTCTTTGCTCCTAGCACCAGTGTACATTGTAGTAAAAACCAAAACATAGAAAATAATCATATAACTAATATTGGTCAGGTGCTGCCTGCCACTTACCGTCCCACATGAACTGGCTTTAACCACAACGGGGAAAGCAAATCAGAAACTTTCCAGTGAGGTTAATCACATGCTGACTAAATGTGATGTTACCATCTAGTTTCTATTTTTGTATGGTCTAAAATAAAGATGAAAAGAAAAGGACATATACTGTATATAATATGTTTTAAATGAGATCATCGTCATCATTTCCATTTAAGTCACATTTTTAAGATTAAGAGGTGCTTTTACTTTACATGAGTATTTGTATTTTATGCAGCTTTATACTTTGAGTCTACATCTCAAGGCAAATGTTTTACTTTTCACCACAACGTTTATCTAACAGCTCTAACAATTGTTCTTACTCTGTTACTGTTGAGTGAAAACCATCTATCTTCCGACAAAATAAAGGAATAAACTTTGCTAAATGGTTCAGAAATTCTCCTACTTCTTAGCCTAAATGTATTTTTTTTTTCAAACCTTAGATCTACTGTAAAACATAAAAGCTGAAAACTGTGCTGTTTGAGGATCTTTTAGCATATAATTGTTGTAAATTAAATTACCCAACAGTATATAAAGCAGTTAAAAATCTGCACAACCTTACATTTCCCCCCACAGTCAAATGCAACATACAAATTCATGATAAAACATTAAATATGTATAATGGAACGTTTTGAATGCAGTGCTTTATGCTACAAAGTATTTTAACATTGTGTAATTACTACTTTTACCTATAGGTAAAGGAACTACATACTACTTCTACCACTGCATTTTAGCCTTTGTCACATTTATTTAAGTTCTTGATCATTAAAACATTATTTTAATAAAAAAGCTTTAAGAAATAATTTCAATGAAATTGTTATACTCTTTACAGACATTACATTGTCCTTTGTCAACCAGAAGACATTATTAAACTGAGGCAATAATTCAAGAGTTAAAAATTAATCCCAATTTTCAAAAGTGTCCCCATACTTCCTTCTGCTCTGTGAAAGTAGCCGCAGTGACGTGCGGCAGATATGTTTGAGCCTGTTGAAATTGCGTCAGGCTTCAGTTCCACAACAGTTTTTGGCATATTGCCAGATGTTTCTTTAAGAATGCCAAACGCATGAGCCAACTATGACCATTTTGATAAGTGTAATAATTGCCTTCCAGTAATGTTCTTATAATCACGTATGCATTTACATGGTTTAAAACAAATGTAAAGTTTATCTCTGTGATAACATGATTGCTCACTTATTATGTATAATCAACTTGTTTAGAAAAAAATAGAAAACAAACTTAGAAATCAAACACCACATTTCTTTTATTCTATCCTTTTAAATACTGAAACATGCTTTAGGAGGAAGCATGTTTCATGGCAATGCATGCAGCTTAATGTTTAGAAATTCTTGTGTTTTAGTCCAGCTGTTGACCGCTGTACATCTAGTTGTACAAGCAATCTTCCTCATCAAAATAATTGTAATTCCTCTCCGGGCCAGTTGAGATGACAAAGCTGGTTGTTACGTTTATCAGCAAGTCATTTATGGATTTCATATAACTATTCATTTTATTTAACGTGAATCACTTGTTGTTACAGTCAGTCTAGCTGAGCAGTGGTGCAACACACTGTTAACAGCCATGTCTAATTTACAAAGAATTTCTCTTTAGGACTCTTGTCACAATATCCAATTTATAACATGTTTTTAGTCACTGTGTTTTTCCAAAAGATAACTCTGTATTAGTGACAAATGCTGACCCATCACCCCCTTGAAAAAACACATCAGTTTGATCATGCTTGAGTGAAAATTTCCCAGTCTTCTGCCGATAGTCCCAGATTGCGCAACCTGCACTGAGGCGGGAAATGACTCATTTCCAGCTGAGGGCTTCCTTAATAAAAGGAGAGGCTCTCCTCCTCAGCACTATATTCAAACAGCAGAGCGAGAAGGCTGAACAAGAAAAAGATAAGGAGAGAAAGAACTACATAGAAGAACAATTCAACAGAATAAAAAGATCCTTCTTCACCTTCAGGCTTCATCAGACAGCTTTCTCAAAGACTTTCCAAATCTTTATTGTTAATTGTTGCAGAATTTATAAAAGGAAAAATGATGAGCAGCAGAGTCATTTTCACCTCTATTGTGGTGCTCCTCGCCTTCCTGGCCGCCAGTGAAGGTATGTTAAATGTAACTGTATTGAGCTTTGCTGTTATACAAGTCATTATTTTCTGTTTTGTATTTGAATTGTAATTGCTGTGAACATTCTGCAGCCTTCTTTTCCTCAATGCATTTAGTGCTGTGAACTCACCTGTGACTCCTCTCTCCTAACAGGGATGAGTCTGAGAAGTCTGGGAGTGGAGCTGCACTGCCGCTGCATCGAGACAGAAAGCAAACGCATCGGCCGTCACATCAAGAGTGTTCAGCTGATTTCTGCCAACTCCCACTGTGAAAACACTGAGATCATGTAAGACTTCATTTCAAAGCCTGCACCCCATCTACATAGTGACAATGTTGATTCTTTAAGTTTTTGTAATTGACTTTACCAACCTTTTCTGAATGCATGTCTGTTTCTTGCTTGGTTCTGCAGTGCCACTCTGAAGAAGACAGGTCAAGAGGTTTGCCTGGACCCCAACGCTACCTGGGTGAAGAAAGTGATTATCCACATGATGGCCAAGTAAGTAAAATTCAGTGATTCAGTACAAGGATACAATAGTCTACTTTTATGATGTGCCTGTGTAATGTAACAGAGTACTTTTTTTTCTTGATGCACAAATTAACTTATTATATTTTTCTTTGTTCTGCAGTAAAAAACGCTAAACCGACTGCTCGGAGAGATGGGCCAATGGCGCTTAAAGACAAATGAGAAGTTACCAAAAAGTATTTTTTGCCCTCAGTTACTTCCTTTCAACAGCAGAGTGCCTCTGAATGTCCTGATCAGGTGTTAAATTATGTAACGAAGGTAACTTCGTTACTATGGACTGACGGCTTTGGGCCCTTGTAATATTGCACATGTGGGTTTGCACTTTATGTACTCTTTTGGTCGATTCTTTCACTGGAAATCCAGCCGCTAAAGGTAAATGGTAAATGGACTGTACTTATATAGCGCTTTATCCAGTCTTTAAGACCCCTCAAAGGGTCGCTGTCTCACAAATGACCACAGAATTTAGCCAGCGTATGTTTGTATCAAACATGTTATTTATTAATCAGTGTGGGATTGTTTGATTGAGACTTGGCTGCTCCTCACTGCAAAACTGCAGAACTGTTGTTTTGTATATAACTTATATTATTGCAAATATTGATATATTTATGGAATTTTATTTCATTTTCATTAAGCTGTGTAGCTCTAACAACCAATTGATAATTAAATATTTTGTACCTGAAATGAAACTGGAATGTCTCTTTCTTTTACACATTTATTCTACTGTACCTTACAACAATCTAGTAACAGATACATCTTCTTTTGGAATATTCCTTAAATGTATACATAATGAATTGGAAATAACTCATACAATTACCAATCCATTATTTATTATAGTCGATAATAACTGAAACATGACAAATTGAAGGAAACGTGTTCTCTAAAACTTTAATTGATAATTCTACATTTGAAATGAAGTGTTTCACTCTAAGAAATGTTACATTTACTACATTAAATATGGTTTTAAGATACAGAAATAAATAATAATGTAATGTTCGATTAATACACAGCCTTTTTCACTTACTGGAAAAAATGCTAAGAGTTTATCCAAAACTGTATTGCACTTCCTTATGGGACTGTTGTCAACATTACAAAGAAAGACCACATAATGCAGCTTGTGTCTTAAACTCACTATCTACTCACAGAGCCTAACCCTGACTTTATTCTCCTGTGGAATAATACAGCTAACAGTATACATTTGTGCAGACTGTAATCAGACGTCGTTTAAATATTTGTGCTTTTGATTGTACCAATAAAGTCAGCCAGTAAATCAGTAAACTTAAGCTGTACCATAAATTAGAGGAAACAATAATGTTTACGGCAACTAAAAGAACATGAGTAATGTTGAAGGTAGTTTCATCGTGTGTATTTTTTTCCATCCACATGCCTGTTATGAAGTATCAACTTTAATTCCACATAATACGAAAATATTCTCACACAAATCAACAACTATCCTACAATTAAAAAAAAAAAAAAGTAGTAAACTGAACATTATAACAAAAATATAAAAATGTTTTGGGATGTGACAAATTTTTTGAAATAATTTCGAATTCTGACTTTAATCTCAGAATCCTTTTTTTAGTACTTTTGTCACATTGCACATTTTTTTTCTCATGTAGCCCTAATCCTCTTCCATAACAATTTAATACAATTCTTAAATAATACAATCTTTTTGCCCCCAAAACCAGTGCCCACTGTGCTCCTGGTAAATGTAAGGTAAACAGGTCGTTTCCTCTCCAGAATGATAGCTTCATCGAAGGTCCATTACAATGCAGATGTAAGACAAGGCAAGGCAAGGCAAGTTTATTTATATAGCACCTTTCAACACAAGGCAATTCAAAGTGCTTTGCAAAAAATGAAAGACATTAAGAAAATGGCATTTCAAATCAGTCATTAAAAAGCAAAGATAATAAAATAAACATTAAAAGAAAAAATACATGGATAAAAGTTACAGTGCAGTTTAAGATGTGAATAGTTCAATTAAAAGCAGCGGCAAAAAGAAAAGTCTTCAGCCTGGATTTAAAAGTAGTCAGAGTTGCAGCGCACCGGCAGGTTTCTGGGAGTTTGTTCCAGATATTTGGAGCATAATAACTAAACGCTGCTTTACCATGTTTAGTTATGACTCTGGGGACAGAAAGCTGACCAATCCCAGAAGACCTGAGAGTTCTGGATGGTTCATAATTTAGCAGGAGGTCAGAAATTTATTTTGGGCCTAAACCATTCAAAGCTTTATAAACCAGCAACAATATTTTGAAATCAATTCTTTGACACACAGGAAGCCAGTGTAAAGACTTCAGAACAGGAGTGATGTGATCCACTTTCTTAGTGTTGGTAAGGACTCGAGCAGCAGCGTTCTGAATTAGCTGCAGCTTTCTAATAGATTTTTTAGTGAGACCTGTAAGGAAACCATTACAAGGCAAGGCAAGGCAAGGCAAGGCCAGGCAAGTTTATTTATATAGCACCTTTCAACACAAGGCAATTCAAGGTGCTTTACAAAAATGAAAGACATTCAGACAAAGGCATTTCAAAACAGTAATTAAAAAGAAAATATAATAAATAAACATTAAAAGGAAAAATACATGAATAAAAAGTACATGAATAAAAAGTTACAGTGCAGTTTAAGATATGAATAGTTCACGCAGTAGTCCAGTCTACTGAAGATAAAAGCATGGACAAGTTTTTCCAAATCCTGCTGTGACATTAGTCTTTTAATCCTAGAAATATTCTTTAGGTGATAGTAGGCCGATGTATTAATTATTTCAATGTGACTGTTGAAACTCAGGTCAGAGTCCAAGACTACACCTAGATTTCTGGCTTTATCTGTTGTTTTGAACATTGCAGACTGAAGCTCAGCGCTAACTTTTATACGTTCTGCCTTGGCTCCAAAAACCATTACCTCAGTTTTATCTTTGTTTAATTGGAGAAAGTTCTGACAAATCCAGTCATTGATTTGTTCAATGCACTTACTCAGTGTTTTAATTGGAGCATAGTCTCCTGGTGAAATTGTTACGTACATTTGTGTGTCATCCGCATAGCTATGGTAACTTATTTTGTTATTTTTCATTATCTGAGCCAGTGGTAGCATATAGATGTTAAAGAGAAGAGGCCCCAAGATGGAGCCTTGAGGTACCCCACATGTCATATTTGTCAACTCAGATGTGTATTTACCTATAGAAACAAAGTTTTTTCTGTCCTTTAAGTAGGATTCAAACCAATTTAGAACTGTTTCTGAAAGTCCCACCCAGTTTTCCAGTCGGTCTAGTAATATGTTGTGGTCAACAGTGTCAAACGCAGCACTGAGATCTAATAATACTAACACTGAAGTTCTGCCACTGTCTGTGTTTAAGTGGATGTCATTGAAGACCTTTACAAGAGCAGTCTCATTGCTGTGGTTTGGACGAAAGCCTGACTGGCACATCCAAACAGTTATTTAAATGCAAGAAGTTACTCAACTGTTGAGAAACAACTTTTTCAATAATTTTACCTAGAAATGGCAGGTTTGATATGGGCCTGTAATTGTTCATTACTGAAGTATCTAGATCAGAGGTGCCCAGTACGTCGACCGCGGTCGACCATGCTGGTAGATCACGAGTCATTCATTAATGACATGATTAAGACATGATCCCTCCTCCCTTGGCCTCCCTGCCACTTAATTCAGGAGTTAATAACACGATAAACACGAAAAATCCGGACGAGATCTCTCTCTCCTCGTCCGGATTTTTCGTGTTTATCGTGTTATTAACTCCTGAATTAAGTGGCAGGGAGGCCAAGGGAGGAGGGATCATGTCTTAATCATNTGACTTGTTTGTGTTTACTACCTCTGGCAGAAAGCTTCTTGGTGTTGATGATTTTTGCGGCAAACTCCTGTCCATTGGAGATCTTCACACACCTCCTGACCACAGAGAATGCACCTCTGAAAAGAAAAAGACGCACAGCATTAGTTAAGGTGCGATCCATACCAGCCGATGTAAAATTGTGTTTCAGAACAGAGCTGATTACAAAAGCATATTGCGTTTCAGTGTAAGTATGGCAAAAATAAATCTAGTCTGGAAAGATATGATTTCATTGTGACTTAGATCACATATTGCAACCTGCGCAATTTGTTGAAAATAAGCTGTTTTAAACTTGCAATTCATATCAAAGGCAGACTGTTGCCTGTTCTTGGACTACTTTATTTAAGCAGGTCATACAATCTCCAGGAATAAGTGCGTATGTTTTTTTGGCACCAAGTTGATACTACGAGAGCGGCATGAAACGAGGATAGTAATATCAGCTGGCTTGCTGACCTGTTATTTCTAGTTAATTCATAAGAAATGTAATCTTAAAAAGTGCATGTGCAGCATGTGAAAAATGTAACTCCATAATTACAGCAGCTGTGTTATTGTGATTTTACTCAAGTAAGGGCACTAAATTGTAAAAAATACTGATTACTAACTACTATACCTGATCATTATGCTCCATGACCCTAACCCTAACAGCACTCTGATGATGTATGTAAAAAATAACAAACATGGAAGAGCACAAATGTAAGTAGTAAAGTAAAATGTCTAAATTGAATAGCACAGAGCATGGATGCAGGATCTGTGCAGCTACGCAAACTAACACACTCACACCCCCCTCCCTACAGTACACACTGTCCTCATCGCTACACGAGACCATCCGCACCAACGAGCACGCCTACCAGCCTTCTATTGCTTAAGCCATGTGTTGTACTAGTGTTTCAAGCACATGTATGAAGATCAAAAAACTAGGTCAGCTATATTTGAGGGAGGAGAAGAGCAGAGTGATGCATCTCTCATCTCTAAATGCAGCCATGGAGATGTCCGCCTCAGCTCAGCTCTGCAGCGCTTCGCTATTCAACCTCCATCTCTGTCGGTGCACGCCTTTTTCTTTCAAATAAAATCGGTTCTCATCAGAGATATCACAAAGATTTAGACACACTTGAATGCAGACAAAAATAGGTATTACCTCAAATAAACTAGATTATTTAACCCACTGTATTCCTAATGGCTGACAACTGTGGCATCATGCCTCTGTACAATTTTATATTTTGGGGGGTTATATGTGTTAATATATGAGAAGTAACTGAAGCAATGTATTCACGGCTGACTTTATAGCATGATCGGTACCATTTACATGTTATCTAACATCCTCTGGAGTTAGCAGCTCGCCACTAAAGCTTACCTCTAAATTACAGTATAGGGGATTTGGTAAAGGAAATGTTCAAAGCATAACATGTTACATAAGAAGCACTATAAAGCACATATTCTGTTCACTGTATCTGTAAACCTAGTCTGTACTGAGCTACATGATGGAAAGAGGAAAAGGAAAAGTAGTAAAAGCACACTTTAAATAACCATGCTTTTCTATTTGAAAATACAGAAAATACAAGATCTACAAGATCTAATTCCTTTCTATACATTATTACAATAAATGGTTGAAAACTAGTCATTTACTATGTTTATTTATCAGTTACAATAATGTTAATGGTTAACACAGTGCTGTCTTTTTATATCAATCTACAAATCAATTGCATATGCACTGGACAATAATGTAATAACTGCAGATTTTATTATGTATAAGAAAATAATGCACATGATTAATAGATATGATTGAATGAGCTAAAACTTCGAGACACAATGGTACAGTATGGTCCATTAACGGCTGAAACTTGA